GGATTTCAGATGAACTCAAGCAATACCCTTCCACAGGGACGTGTATCTTTTATATAGGAATGTTTGTGAGTTCCAGCAGCTCTAACAAATTCTTCTAATGAATTAGTGGAGCTAATGACACCAGGCAAGTCAAAGATAAAAAGCAGACAAACCCCAGCATATCAGTGCTTCAGCTTAGATATTAAGTGATCAAAATCTATTCCTATGAATGTTGTTACAGATGTAAAAGATATCCATCCTAGCAAGCAGCATGATACATTAGTATCATTAAGATAACTTCAAGCTGCAATATCCAACCGCAGACATTATTTAGATCAATATGCTGTAAGGCCACAGAAACTAGGCAGTATAAATTCCCCTTGCTCTGCCCTGATTTTGTTTTCAGGTCAGACTAATTAAGGTATTTTCCAGGATTAGAAAAAAGTTATGGTGTTAGTGGTATGCAAAAAGTACTTCTAAGCAGCCACCAATTGTCAGTTCATTTTTTTGGCAATAAAAGGAGTTCGGGACGTACTATTGTTAAATGATATATGTAAATTGGTCCAGCCTTATTAAATCACCATTTAAAAACTGTATTTGTTTCTACCTGCTGTAGAAGACATTAAGGCAAAACGAAGCTCTCCCATACGTCATATAGGTACATTACAGGTAAGATTGTTTTAAATACAGAAACAAAAGCTTAACTTCAATGAAGCAATATCATTAGTGTATTGGACTTGAAGAAACACTATTATCAAAAGCTCACTATCCTTAGCCAGAGGTGAGTTTGGTTACTATTGTAAATATAAGTATGTATGAATACTTAATTTCATAACTTTCAGAAGATAATGTGTTTGGGTAATGCTGTTCACCATGATTATGGCTATCAGCTTCCACAACATTTCTTTTCTGAACTTAAAGAGAAAGCAGAATAGGTTTTTTAACCAAACACCAGTTAATTGCTGAGAGTTGGAAAACTTGTCTTCGTAACTTGAGGTGAAATACAAATATCTGATTTTCCAAATGCCTATGAGAATCCTGTATACAGGATGCTTCCAACATCTTAGATTCAGGGTAATAAATGGGATACTATAAATAGGCAGAATATTCCAATTCAAGCTAAGAAGCATGAATACAATTCAAACCCAGACAAGTACAAAGGATTCTCTAACAGTATTTTGTCAATTTCTATTTAAATATATATGCACTATATATTCTCTCTATATACACATACCATATATACATACCCTATATCTTATATAGTATACTGCCACTCATATACTACCACTATGGAATCTGTTCCCACAGATTTAAAATTAGTATATTTCAAGATGGTACCTATAAGTATCATAAAGATGGCCAAAAAGCTGTGAGTTTCTTGGAGGAGTATCCTCTAGTGAAGGCCCCAAAGATGACACCAACACTAGGAAAATGCCTTTCTGCAATACAGGTGTTCTTATATTAGTATACAGTGTTCTTACTACCAAAAAAAAGGCTGGCAAATTTTACTGAAACATAGTGCTAGCACTTTACGTCATTCAAAAGGTTAACTTAGAAGACAGCTGCATTTTAATTTGGTATGTCCATCAGTACGACAAAGATTCTCAATCAGGAACTTGGCAAGAAAGAGCCACGGAACACATTAGGCATTTTAAAGGCCTGTTTTCACACCATCCGAACATTAACTTCTGGGAATTTAGAAAGCAGCTTAAAGCTGATGAAAATCTTCACATGGTTACTTAAAATGACTAAAGTTTAACACTTACACTGATTTAGCTTAAAGCAATGTTTACTATGTGCACTGGACTGACATTTGATACAATAGGGCAATGTAGCACACAATAAAGTAACATGATATAATAAATGTAACTAATTTCTAAAGCAAACTGATTTTTCAGGGGACTTAACCTTATGAAATCAAGTGCAATTTCAAGCTCTCAATCTCTTTAAGACAAACAAACAACAACAAAAAAAGACTAGTTTGTGATTTAACTGCCAAATTTCAAAGTTGAAATCAGTCTCGAGTGCTAATATTATGTTTCTTTAATGGCTTTCAGAACCCTGGCAACCCATTCAGTAATTCTAAATAACCCGTGACAGGCAGTTAAAAAAGATTAGAAAAAATTCTATCATCATCAAACTCAAAATTCTCTTTACAAGAGCCATCACTTGATACTGAAGTACTGCAAAAGTCTATAAATTGAAAAAGGATGGAAAACTACACCATTATTCATTAGCCAAGAGCAAAAAGAAAAGAAAATAGCCTAAAAGTGGCCTCTCTGAAGAGGCTGAAAAGGGCTAGAATCCTATACAATCATAAGCCTCTGCCATCAGTGGCCTGCAGTTACATAGCTCCTCTGAGCACAGGGGGAGACTTGCAACAGCAGTCGAAACACTTAAGAGTATTTCTAAACATTACTGAGAAGTTAATGAATACAAATGTATGAACCGTCAGACATAGGAAAGCTTCAGCAAACTAGAACAGCTTCAAGGAAATAAGCTCTTCTAGGAATTTGGCTGTTATTAAAAAATAGGCAAGACCCTTGGACTTGATTGGGAAGAAGGGGAACAAATCGTAAGTTTTTCATACCCTTAAGACTTCTGTATACAAAACCAGTTATCACTAGACACAGCATTTTTAAACATAAATAATTTAATCAGCTAGGCTTCATAATACTGCCAGAATCACTTAAGAGTTGCTTTTGAGTTTGTCTTTAAATACTTGATACTTAGTCCAGAAGATGAGTTACACAACTAAACTCCACAGGAAATCATAGCGTGTAACCGATCTTACCTATTTTTTATTACAAGTCCAAAGTATACAAAGCCTTATTTACCTGGCAATTCCATTTCATCATATAACTGCCAAAACCCTGAAACACACTACCTCCTAGGACCTTAAACCAAGGCAAATGTAGTTTTGGAAAATGTAACTGACACTAGGGTGTTAGGGGTTTTTTTTCTGTTAAAAAAATTAAAGAAAAAACCCACCAGACAAGCAAAATTAACACACACGCACCCCCTTACATTACTCAAAGACAAAGTCTTCAAAAGTTGACAGTTCTGTTCTGGTTTATAGCTTTGCTTCCTAAATTTGGGAAGGTATTGAATGGCTATCCTTGTGGTTTCTCATTTGAGGTGTATATCCAGGAAAGAACAACCTAACACACCCTTGCTTTCAAAACAGTTTCTTGCCAAGCGCGCTCAGATGCAGGAACACACGCACAGTTATTATCTGTGCGTAATCCTCCTTCCCAAACTAGATGGATACAAAATGAACGCTGCCAAATACATGCAGCAGGAGACTTTTTTTTAAAATGGGACTTTTTTTCCAGGAATACTAGTACCTGTTATCATGTATGCTATGTTCAACAAGTTTACCAGTATAACTGCATGTGTAATTCTGATGACTATAATTTTTAAAACAGGGTTTAATTTTGAAAAATTCAATTTCAACAGTTAATACCATCATTTCACATTCAGAAATAAATCTCAAAGTGAAAAATCGCATCCAAGTGGAGAAAACTCTCCTGTTGTACACAAAGTACATTGAAATGCAAAATTTACCGGTTGTCTTGCTCAGACTCCTTCCGCTACAGACTATTGCTCATAGAGACATGCCTACAGATAAATATGAATTGAGCAGAGGTTTGAGGATGGGAGGGGAAATGCACGTGGGGGAGGAGGAGAACACGTTTAGTTTTGTATCTTTGAGGCTTCCCCAGTCATCTCTATGGGATGGAGTATTACATTCGTAGAAAGGGAATCGAAACTCCACTATGAAGTATAAAGAAAAACTTTAATACTCTGCAAAATGTCATTAGAGACAACATTGTGTTTATAGCCACCAAGCTTTATGATATAGCAACTTCAGACTCATTTACCCATCTTTTTAAACAAAAAAACCTCTCATCTGCCACACTGACATGAGAACCACCTTCTAGACTATTACACCAACATCAAAATCAACTAGATGCTCTTAAAATACAACATTGACACAAATTCCTAGGGTGAAAAAAAACCCACCTAGCATTCTGAATTAACCGTGGCACTTTTGCTCAAATTTACAAACAGGTAACAAACACCACAGTACAATAAAATGTAAAATGATTTCTACCAAAAATAGCACGAGTTTCATGAGTACCCAGACTTCACAAACTCTCAAATGCAGTACTCTAAGTATATATGTTTGCTGGCCGAATTAGCCCTCAGAAACACTGTAAATTATATTCTCTGTCATACTATTTTTTTTCTAGTCTTGAGAACCTGCTCCAGCGTCTCAACTCATGTCAGTTGCCCGATTCTCTCATGCTTATCCCCTGTGATGTTTTTTCCACACTATCCCTAAACCAAATGTGGAGAATTAATACCCTTTTAGAAAGGGGAAAAGTAGCTGAAGATCTGCCTGAAAGCTAGAGTCTTGTCAAACACTAGCAGCGTTATAGCTGTGTCACTGTACTCTACTTTGCTTGCTAAGTTCTAGATAAGCATCCTTAAACCCACTACTTGTACCAGTATACTTAAAGATTTAAAGATCAAACAACTAAGAGAAGTTAGGAGATCCAACACAGGAATTCTGCCACGTAAAGAAAGCCGAGATAACACAACTATTTAATTTAATTCCACATGGAACCAGATAGGAAAAAGCCCGCTGAAAGCCGATGCGAGCTTGGCCCTATAAGCTACGCACGAGGCACACAAGTCAGTTTTACTGTTCAGGGGCTTCCTTCCCTACAGAAACTTTAAAAAGAAAACCACAAGTACGAACTTCACACCTAAGACAATACAGCCCTTGTAAGATCAGAAGCCATACTGAACACCCGTCCAAAAAAACCAAAATACAGGAGCAGCGAGCGACTCAGCGAGGGGCAGGGTGGAGCAGAAGGCGGGACAATGACCTAAGAGGTCTTTTCTATCTTTAGTTTCGCTTCGGACGGCGTTGAACTCGGAAGCAAAACTACAAGCCATTTTCTAGCTACCAGCAACACCGCCAGTGATCCGAGTTGCCCGCCCGTCCTTACCTTGAACACTTTACCGAAAGCACCATCTCCCAGCTCCCCGATAATCTCCCAGAACTCCTCAGGGTTCAAATCCCTCTTGACGTGCTCGTACTGTTTCTTCTTCTTCTCACCACCCAGCTTGAAGATCTTACGAAAGTTGAAGAAGGACATCTTTCCTCCTAAAGAGGGAGGCCAGCCTCCGGCGACGGGGCGGAGGGAGGCGGCGGCCGGCAGTGCCCC